CTCCTGTCTCCATCCTGCATTTCTACTCTCAAGTATTCTATAAAGAACATTTTTTTTCAAACTTGCATTTTGCCTAAAACTCAGTTAATCTGTTCTTTGCTGTGGCCAATAAGAGCTTTTTCTTCTCCCCTTAAATGACCATTATTTTTTACCTCTCCTTGCTGTGAATTTCTCCAAAATATAAGCTCTTACACCCCCTTACATTAAACTGCATCTTCTGAATACTGCATATGGATTATGAAATCCTATATTTTTTCTCATTGCTTTGGTTCATCCAAATAGCTGCCCAAAGAGAGGTCCATTAATTAGCATATCTGATAACTCAGATCTTGTTTTCTGGCTCACTCTTGAGAGGGAGATATGTTCTGTTTATTTGATTGCTCTTCATGCTGCGTGTTCATGTCTACCCAGGCTTTTATGTTGCGTCCATCATCATGAAATGTGAGATGGTTGATAATTCTCTTCTAATTCACAGAACAGACACTGTCTCGGCAGCAGTGCATTTTGGCCCAAAAAGCGGCACTTGAAGCCTGACATGTAATCTATGGATTTGTCCAATCTAATTACTGCCACTTCCATCAGTGTTTTTATGATATAGACATGCATCCACTCAGAAAAAATCACTAAAGCTACAGAGGTAGCTGCCAGGCAGTCAGTCATTCCATCACTTTTGGCTTGGAAATTATTTGAAAGATGCCATAGAGTTGGAGGGCTCTGATAAGCACCATCAGTCCCTTAAAAAATGTGTTTTCCTTTGTTTCTGCTCACATTCAAGTATTATTTTAGTAGATTACACTCAATTTTTCACTAATTAACTGTACTTTCTTGTAATTAGGTAAAATGCTGGTTTTGTTGAAGTCAGTGAGTAATAAAACTTCTACAGCAAAAAAAATTATTGAATATATCAATTTTTAAGATAATAGACTGAGGGCTGGGGTAAATTAACATGCATTGAGCACAGTGCAGCAATCCCAGACAAACTGCTGCACTCAAGCTTGTTTGTTCACAATTGCCTTTAGTGTTTCTAACATGTGTGACTCTCTTCAGTGCAGAAACATTCCAGTGACAGTGCAGTCACTGGGCATCTTAGACATGTCTCTGACACTCATTCTCCAAGGAATTGTTCTGGAAATCTGAAAATCATTCTAATAAACCAGAAAAGAACAGTTGGCCATGTGCAGTCACTGGGCATCTTAAGACATGTCTCTGACACTCATTCTCCATGGAATTGTTCTGGAAATCTGAAAATCATTCTAATAAACCAGAAAATGTCTTCTTATATTTTCTTGGATTTATAACTCCAATGAAGCCATTAGAAACTGGGCATGCAATGAGAGATCATATTTAGAAATGATCAGTCTGTGTTTGGCTATCTGCACCAGAACTGCCTCTAGCTAACACCAGTGCAAATCACAAGCCTTTCACTGACACCCCTGAAATTATATGCAAAAGCAACTGTCCTTAAAAATTAAATGTATTAGGCTGGTTAGGTGTTTTTATTGATAAAGGAATTAAGAAATGCGATTTATTTCAACCTCAACTCATGAGTGTCCTGCCCAGTCTGCTGCTGTCCTTACTGAAAGAGGGAAACACATTGGTTTTGCATTGCTGCCAATTTTGGGGTTACGGTGAGAGAATATTAACAGTTACAACTTCTCTGAGCAGCAATCTGTGTCTGTACAAGCCTTATCCACCAGCACACACCACTGGCTGCTTCCTTGTCAAACACAGCAGCTGAGTCCCAGGGATCCGATGGCTTTGGATCCCCTCCCAAGCCAGGGATGCACCATGAGTCCTCAGGATTTGCTCCCATTAGTGCAATCCAGGATGACATAGACTGTCCAAGCCTGGGGAATTTAAAACTGACCCCGTCTTTCCAATAGATTTTAGCAGGTTTGAACAAACATCTTGGATTGGAGAGCTGACAGGGAGCAAGGATAACTTCATTTTGGCTAAGATTGCTGGTAAAATTAACAAGAAACAGCCCGGTCTCCTTGCACCATCTACGTCGCACAAGCATCCCTTACAAATCCCAAGCATGGGATTTAATTTGGGCATTTAAAGCTGCCTGCATTATGTTGTGACTCTGGGTCTTTTAACCCATCTTTTCTGCATGTTCTTCCTTGCAAATGTATATTTGATGCAGCACATTTTCAAAGGGAATAAAAAAAAAAGAAAACTAAAAGCTACATGTATTAGTATTCCTGTTTAATTTAATATCAGCTTACTAGGTGGAAATTAAAATGATTTTTCTGTCACTGTTATCTCTCTTCACTTGGCAAAGATTGATTTCCTTCTTCCCTGCTGCTTACTAATAAGACATCTGAAAACTAAGTTGGTTTTTATGTTTACTTCCTTGTTTAAATCAGCTTTCTTAACTAAGGACAGCTTTGGCAATATATCTGCTGCTTAACTTGTGATTTCTGTGTTGGCTCAGGCTCCACTAGTGACAGAACATCAAACTCAGAGAGACTATATATTTTTAATTACTCAGGAATGCCCTCGTGCATAAGTACATGCAAATTAAACAAACTGATTTCAAAACCGGTTCAGAACAGATTGCACATTACACAACCACATTTTGGTTTCAGAAATGATGGTGCATTATTTTGCTTCTCCTGCTGACAAGTACGGAGGCTATCAGCCATGCCTTGCCTTTCCCACTGCTGTGCCTGGCACTGCCAGGTTTGGTACCACTTTATCGAGCTGGCAAACCAAGGAAGGCTGATGGCAATTCACAAACCATTGAGTGTGAGAATCTGCTGAACAACTACTCTACATGGAATGACACCTTCCTACAAAGGAAATATAATGTCCAGCAAGTGGATTAGAAAACATTTGTCTCGAAGAATAGGACATGAGCACCCAGCCATCTGCCTCCAGAATCTAGTACTTCTTTGAACTGGAAATGATAAGCTAATGAGCACAGTTGCTGTTTGGAGTCCAAGCTGCGTTGTATGAACTTGGTACTTGCACGCCGGTGGCAAGACAGCTCTAAACAAGATGCAAGCATCATCAAAAGGTTCAGTGAAAATTGTGCAGGCCAAGGTGGTCATACCAAAGGAAAAAGGTAGGGAAAATGGCCATCTGCATACTGCAGATTTGGAACTAAAGCATTAGAGACAGAGGCGGCATGGTGGGTATCCCTAAAGAGCTAACCAGCCCTTCTGAACAAAAAAGCTGAGCTTTTTCAAAAAGCTGTGTAATGTGTCCTGCAACACATTCTCTTCAGATATTATCTCATGCCCTTTAGACATTTCACTGCATTGGAGGCCTCCTTATTTAAGGGCCTAATATTTTTCTTTCCTAATATTTCCTAATATTTTCTTTCCACTCCATCTTAAATCCCCATGCTTGGCATTAATAACAGTTTTTCCTCTAGTATATTTGTGCCTGGAATACCTACATAGAAGTATCTTACCTTCTTCCTCTTGAATTTGATTATCCTTCATTTATCTGCTTTTCAGGTATTGAAGTTTAAGTCTTTCTTTCTCCCTCTTGACAAAGTTGCTCTTGTCCTACTTCATTTATCTGTTTTTCAGGTATTGAAGTTTAAGTCTTTCTCCCTCTTGACAAAGTTGCTCTTGTCCTTCTTGGGGGATGATGTCTCAAGGTTTCTTTCAGCCCTTTCTTCCTTACACAGTTCAACGATGTTCTTCTGTGTTTCTGTATTTTTGATACAACTGCACTCAGAACTGAAATTCAGCAAGAACCTTCTGTGAAGATGCACCTGGTCTGTCCCCACTAGAGATCAGAGGTGGCAATTCCTTGCATTGTACCAGAAGCAGCTCAATCACATGAGCAGCCTGTGTCCCACCAAGGGTGCCCTCACCAGCCACCTGCTTGGGTGACCTGAGGGAAGGCTCCTTGCATTGTACCAGAAGCAGCTCACACCACACGAGCAGCCTGTGTCCCACCAAGGGTGCCCTCACCAGCCACCTGCTTGGGTGACCTGAGGGAAGGGTGCCTGCATCTCTGGTTGCCTCGCAGTGCAGGACTGGTCTTGGGGCACCTGGCTCCTCGCCTGGAAGCCTGGTCCTGATCAGCTGTGCTGGCCAGGCAGGCAGGTGTCTGGACACACTTCAGGTGCTGAGTGCCAAGGTTGGTGTGCACGTGATGTGCCGCTACATGGGCACTTCTGGCGTTGCAGAATTCGGGGGTGAGTTGAAAGCTAAACCAGACCTGCTGCTGGGGGTGAATATGCAAGCGATGCTCTTTCATACAATTTCCATCTTCCTGCCCTATTTTCGTGCTATCTGTCCTGGTGCACCTTTGGTGCATATGCCAAAGGCCACAGAACCGCTGAGGGAAGCTTGGCAGGCTGTGACCCATGCCGACCTGCCTGAATGAAAAAGAAAAAACTTTAATTTTTTTGGAGGTGGGAAGGAGTGACCTTTCTGCTTAGAAAACGGAGACAAGCCTCAGCCGTCCTCCCCGCCGCCGGCCCCCGCTCCAGGTCGGTCTCTGATGGGGGGGGGATATGGGGGATAAAGATGCCAAATGCAGGCGGAGGGGATGGACAGGGAAAGGAAATCCCGTTCCCTCGCACCCCGCTACAGACAGGACCACAGCACAGACCCGGCCGGCGGGGCTCCCCCGCGACGCGGCGGGAGGCGGGGGGACCGCAGGAGGCGGCGGAGGAGGGGAAGGAGGAGGAAGGAGGAGGGGGCGAGCGGCTGGGAGGGGAGGGAACACCTCGGCTGGGCGGAACACGCCGGCCGGCGCGGTCCCAGGCTGCCGCGGCCGGGCTGCCCGCGGCTGCCACTGGCCCCGCACGCTCCCTCTGCGGCCGGGGGCGGCGGCGCCCGCCGCGTCCCGCCCGCAACTTTCCCTCCCCCGTGGATGGCTTTCGTCGGAGACCTGCAGGGCAACCGGGCGCTTGACACCTGTCCCCCATGGGCCGCCCCCGCGCCTAAGTTTGCCGGCGGCCGGCCGCGCTCCGCCGCCGCCGCAGGGCGGGCTTGAAGCCGCGGCGGGGCCGCGGTGCCCAGGGGCCGCGGGATCCGTCCGCGCTCGCTGCCCCCGTGTAGTTCTCGAGTCGTCTGTCCTCGGCGGCGGTCCGCGGGTGACATGCAGTCCCTCATCTCTCCGGTGACCAAGGCTATCCTGGTGGCTTTGTTCATCTTCGCCATCCTGCTGATCCTCTACGTGATTCTGTGGTACATCTGCCGCGATGTGGATTGCGACCATGGGATCTGAGCGGCGCCGCGGGGCCAGGGCTTAGGAGCCGGGATTCACCCCGCGGGGCCGGGAGCGGCAGCGGGAGCCCCTCCGGGCGGCAGCCGCCGCCACCGCGGCCGAGCAGGGGAAGAGAAGGGGAAGGAAAGAAAAGAAGAAAAAAAGAAAAAAAAAAAAAAAAGCGAGCGAAGGACCGAGCCGAAAGAGCCCGGAGGACAACTGCGATCAAGAAACCAACCTGAGCTTGACCTTCAGAGACCAGGGTGACCCGGTGAGTCTCCGCTCTCCGCGGCGCGGGGGATGCGCGGGTGCGGCGGGGCTGCCTCCCTCCCTCCCGCTCCGCTCCCCTCCCGCTCTGCTCCCCTCCCCTCGCACACACACACACAAACACACACACACTCGCACACGCACGCACATGGATGTGGCACAAGCGCCGCGTACACACACACCCGTGGATGTGCGTGCCTGAGCGCCTGCTGCACGCAGGCATGCGTGTCCCTTGGGGAGAAGCAGGACCCGTCCTGCTGGCCGGGATAAATTGTGCCTGTCCCCGTGTCCCCCCGCTTTACATTTTTCGAGGGGACAAGGCGCAAAAGGCAGCGCGCCCGCGGGAGCGGCCGGGCGCGGGTGCGGTGCCGGAGGGCGGCCGCCGCGCTGCCTTTGCGGCCCCACATTGGTATGCAGGCGGTGGCTGCGCCGCCAGGCAGACCTAAAAGGTGAGCCCTGGGGATGGGGGAAAGTCAATGCCTCATCAGTCCAGGGGCAAATCGGGAAGTTACAGAAAATGAAGGGAAGATGTCAGGTATCCGGCTGGTGCCAGCAGGCAGACTTCGGGGAGGGGATGTGAAGCGGGATGAGTTTCTCCTTTCTAGGGCCAGGTTGATGGAAGGAAGTGGGGGAGATGACAGAAAAATGTGCATGGGAAGTTCTGGATGGTAGTGCTCCGTGTCTGTCTCACTGACACTGCATTTCGTACGTGCTACTCTCTGTAAAAGGGTTAACACTCAGCGGTTTACCACATGCTCAAGCTGGGCAATTTCAGAAAATGTTGATCAAAAGTACACAATTGACGAACATGTACATGCTGACTTGTTGGGACACAAGAGGGGATGTATCCTGCCCAGCCGTTTTCCCACCTGAGAGAAATTGGCGATTTCTGCTCTTACTGTTTGGTTGTACTGAATACCCTGTGCTGAAGCGGAGAGACAGCAACACATTGTGTTTGAAGTGGAAAAGACCTGCTGAAAGAAAAATGGTCCCAAACACTTGGGCTGTGACTGTTTCTGTCCTTGACAGGCAAGCTGTCAGGAATAGGAGCAAACTCCAGCTGCGTGCATTATCCCTGGCGGGATGTATTCGGGTGCCGCAGGGTGTGGGTGCCTGTACACAGTGGGGAAGAGGAAAAACATCAAATTCGCATTTCAAGCAGGGGAACAGGGAGCCAGCCAACTGTAAAGTGTAATTGTGTGATTCGGGGTGATTTGACATTGAGTGCTGGTGACCGAAAGCTCACCTCTGCAACAGGGGTCTGCATGCGGAGGGAACTGTTTGGAAGGTGAGTCTCTTGCCATTTTGGTTTGTGCTTCTGTTCAGACTGTATTTTGAAGGGCTTTTGACCTGACTAGTTGATCAAACATGACATTACCGTTAACACACGCTACTGATGTGATTATAACAGCAGTGACATCAATGTTTCTTTGCCCTGCAACTACAGTAGCAATGCATTTGTTTACTTCCCCATGCACGCTCTGAAATGTCTGTTACTCAACAGCTCTGAACAGCAAGGGAAGAGGGAGGAGGAGGGGGAAACTTACAGACATTTAAAAATGGCTATAGCTCTGTTTCCCTTATCCACGTAATGATGTGGAAATAAAACAACCTCTAAGTCTTCTTCATATTTTTTATTTTTTTCCCCTCCAGTCAGTACACTTTTTTTTTTTTTACCAAAGTAGCAAAAAGCTCTTCACACTTTGACATGTCAGGTTGTGTCACATGTTCCCTTCCGAATTAACAGCAGAGCACACCTTCTGCCCCTCTCCCAGCTGGCAGGAGCTAGCGGGTGAGACAGTTATAGAGGCTTTGCCATTTAGTGTTAATTATTTCACAGTAAACCAAACTGTTATTTATAGAACTGGATGAAATGTGGCAAATTAATGTAGTTTTCAGAAATCTTTAAATATCAAGAGATATGTGTGCGGGTGATTAAATATCTGAAGTGTTGATATGACCAAACATATTTTGTGCAACCCATCATAACTGACATTAATCAACTTAATAATTGTAGAAACCATGAAACAGTCCCTTCACTTACTGTCTGATCGTTAGTGCTCCCAGCTGGCTCATCATTCTTTTAAGCCTATTATTTTTAGGAGACATGATGTAGAATTTCTTTTAAAATACCTGTTTTTATTCTAAATAAGGTGACTGTATATGTATTTATATATAAATATACACATAAGATTTGCATACAATCTAATGGGTATTTTCCAGCCTGACAGAACTGAAAAATAAGCAGAGCAATGATTAGCAGTATTGAATTTGATTTGTAGTTGTAGTCACAGATGTGTTGGCTTTAGTTCAAAACTCTGTGTGTTCATTATCGTGTATTAGCAAATGTAAAACCCTAAAGATCTGAAACACACCTTTTCCTATTGCTGCAATGCCTCATAGAAGGGAATGATATCCTGGCCTTGCCCGGCTTTGCGTGGAATTTTGCAGTTGGTTTTGACAGAATCAGAAATATATTGGCGGATTAGCATGTGAATTTGTAACAGCATGATGTTATACTAATGTTGAGATATTAAAACAGTAAAAAGGGTAGAAATGATTACCGTGGAATACCTAGAGACCTTATTTTTGTAATTATTTACTTGTTTGCTGAGAAGTTTGGTGGTCTTTGTATTTCTCTTTAGTGTTTGTGCTCATGCCTCAACTCAACAATTTTCCCCATCTTGCTCTCTCTTAATGTACGGGAGTGTTTCAAAGGTGAGCTCTGAAATAACACCTGTGACTGAAATGCAGTGCATCAGGTAGATATAGATCACCTGTAAGTGTTTTTTGCAATAAGAGAGGTTGTAACATCATGAGCTTTTGTTTAAAGCATGTGCTTTTGTTTAAAGCAAAGACAACTTGTTATTGTGATTTTTTTTTACTTAAGCAAAGAGAAATTTTTTACCCTATTACAAAAATTAGTAATTTCATGGTCTGAAACTATGTTTTTAGTCTAAAAGCTATTTAATAGGCTGTTCAAAAACTGTGTTAAATGATATTTCAAATCTTTCCCCTTTTTTTTTGTGTGGAAAGAAACTGTGAAGTTACCCCTGCTTCGTCAGCAGAAGTGTAATGAATTTTATGGATTAATTCCTACTGCAAGGTAGCATGCTATATCATGGTTCTAGGGATCTTGTCACATCAAACTTAAACATGCAGTATGTTTCTGGATAAGTCATTCCTTACTCAGTTCCTAGTCAGGCAAATTCCTTGCAGATTTATTAAATATTTTCTGTACAGGGCATGTAAGAAGAGTAACCGGGCAATAAAAATCACAGATTTGCTTATTTTCTTCCTTATAAAATGGATTAATACGAATCAGTGTCTTCCTGGTTTGCCCTCTGTGCATCTTACACCACTTCCCTGAAACAGGCTTAAAATGAGCATTGAAGATGATTCCAGCATAGGAGGGTCTCCACAGAGATGAAAGGTTAGCCGAGGTCCAAGAATGGACAGTGCTGCATCCTGGAGATGTCCTTGTGTCATCCAGATGCTCAGCTGTATTTTTTCCCCTTCAGGTGAGTGTAAAGCAGAGAGCTTTCAGGCTGCTGTAAGGCAGTACACGTAGATCTGCCCTTTGCAGCTCCAGCCGCATTTGTTGGAGGGCCCATTCTAGGACTGGTTTTCTACTGTCTGTTCTATGCAAGGTGATGATTTTGTAGTTGTTCCTCGCAGTCTTAAAATCTATGAGCCTTAGATTATTTGGAATGTGACAAGAACTTGGCCCAATTTGTGTGTTTATAAGCAGCGCAGAGGTGAAATGGTTTGAATTAATTGTACAATTGATGCCACAATTCTACACTTGAAACTGGAAGGGCCCTTTAAATGACAAATTTGGGGGCAGTATGAGGGAATACAGTGTCACTGTAACAAGTGTATTAAACCTGCAGCTTGAGCAGGCCATATCTTGCTTCTTGCTTGGCTAGAGTGACAGTCTTGCATTGGTAATGTTCATATAAACTCTGTGTGTAAGGAGTTATTGAAAAGGTGGTGTAAGGGAGTCATGAAAAGCAGGCTTTTTTGCTCCTCACCTAAAGATCCATCTCTGCTCCGGGTACGATGAGCCTGACTGCTCCTTCCCTGCTGCATGGCACATCAGGGCTACAATTGGACACTCAAACATACAGGAAAGTTCCACTGCTGTTTCTCAATGGATGACTTTTCCCCCAGTTTTTCTTTGATGCATGAGTGTTTTCTCCTTTTCCTTCTAAGCATTAATCCTCTGAACTGTGACTTAGTGCGTAATGCGGTTTGTAGACAAACTGCACGGATTGATTTTCCTGAAGTGGGCTGACCAAATGACAAGTGTATTGGAAACCAGCACACACTTGCTTATTTGTTGTTCTACATTAAGCTACTTTTTCTGATGAAATATCCTAATATCTATTAAAATATCTTAAAAAAAATTACTGGTTACTTTTAATATGCATTGCTGGTATGGTACATGTAGTTGCATAGCAGCATCTGCTCTTCTTAGAGGCATTCTGATAACTTTTAAAATTTTACCCGAGTGAGAAAATGTCAGCTTTAGCTTGGAGAGGCTCATAACACTGTCTGCTGTTGAGAATTGCATTCTTATTTTGAATGTTTTGATATATTACTTTGGAATACTAAAGATATTTACTGATGTTTTCACAAGTCATTAAATCATACGTAAAGGACACCAATAAGGTGACATTCAGACATTCTGTATTTCACTGTAGAGTGTAGTTTGAACGTGGATTACAGTTGTGAAAAAGATGTGGAAAAAATTGCTTGTGACTGATGAAGAAAGACAAAGGTTTGTGAAAAGAAAGAAGAGTGTTAGAGCAAGACAATAGAAGAGAGACTCCAGTGTGTTCAAATTTTAAGAAGTGGCACTAATGTGAAGGAATATGAGAAACTTAGAGCATTAAAATTACCACTTTGCTGCACAGAAACTGTATGTACATATAAATATACATGCATACATATGCCTGTATATATGTATATACATTTACACAATCTATGTCATCATATCAG